CATACATACATACATACATACATACATACATACATACATACATACATACATACATACATACAAAAAGTTTATGGCTCATCCAGGAATTGCGGATTTTAGGAGACGAACCGGGACAAACAGGAAAATTTCTCTGGAAAATACGTCAAAAAATGCAAGCATTACCTATTTTCAACTAGATGCCGTGGTATGTGCCGTGGTATGACTGTTTTGTTGCATAAACACAGCAAATTTGTGTCGGATGTTGTCTGTGCCGTACGTGCCGCTTGATTGAATGTACAGAACGCACCGAATGTGCCTTTCAACACACAAACCTAAAATTCAGAAGCACTAACTAGTCTAAATAAAAATAAAAAAGCTCAGGAATTAAAAATATTTAAAATTTTGAGAAATCAGGGAGAAAAAAACCAAAAACTTTCACTTTTTTCAAAAAGTGGCTTTATTAATGATCTCCCCCATATGTTCTTCAGGTATTCACGTCCAAATGACTGTGTAATGCCTCAAAAATGAAAAATTCAAATTCCTTGAACCAAAAACTTTTCCTGAAAAAAGTTGTTGGTTCCGAGAACTTTTAGATTCTATTTATTATTTTCACATCTGCAGGGCAGAAACAAGAAATACCAGACCTTTTCAGTGCAATCAGTGATGTTAACGAGCGAAAAAAGCGCATCAATCCAGTCAACTGCAGCAGCAATGTATCGTCGTATTGCTTCTGATAGCTTTTCTACTGTCACTGTACGATCCACCTGATAACACATCTAAAACAGAGAGATTTTAGTTCGATAATCAAAAATTGAGTGAAAAAATTGACTTCAATTAAATCAGTTGTAAAGACTAAAACCGACTCTGCCGTCTGTGTTTACAGTTTAGGGATGAAACACAGACAGGATAACAGCTAATGCATACATAGGCTCGCTTATCTGGGTATCTGAATTAGCAATCCCTGCTTTCCCACAACTGAAAATATTCGACTGTATCCCTCTCAGCGGCTGGCCTATAGTGCCAAACAAACTTTCATAGTATTTATATTTTTCAAAAATTTCCAAAATACTTAAAAGTCTCCTCCCTCACTGCGCCTAGAGGAACAACCAAGTGACACCATGCATCAGGAGAAACCACATGTTGTCAAGACTGTCGGCAGATCCTTCATTCGAGTGTTGCTCAGACGCAAACTGACAGCAGTTTTAACTCCGCAGCATGCACCAATAACAATTTAAAATCGAAACAAGTGAATGAATCGAAGAAAGACTGATTATCCCTTCAGCGGTATTGAACTTTCGACCTTCAGCAACTTTTATCAAGTTCCAAAAAAAAAAAAAATTCTTTGCCCGCACTGAGGAATAATTTACGAATGGAATTTGCAAGTTTTTTTTGGATTCCGAAAATAAAAACAAGGGATTCTCATCTCGAATTAACGATTCCAGAAGATACTACAAGGCTTCCAGAAATCCAGTTCACATATCTCCTATAAGTCCTATACCCTAAATTCGTCCTCGCTGACTTTGTATTCTACACTCAGATGAACAGACCGTTAGCAGAAGGATTGCCACTAAGTGGATTCGAAGACCAAAAAGGAAGAGAAAAAAATGCTGTGTACACTTTTTCCGAAAAAATGAAAGCAGAAAAAAAAAACGCTACATGTTCTACTACGCTTAACATCAAACGATGTAGCTTCAGTCGCAGACTATGCAGTTTTTCCGAAATAACGAAATCAGAGGAAAATACATCCATAAGTAATGTTACGCCGAACATCAAATGGTGAAGCTTCAGCTGCAGTAATTATACATTCCAATTGAGCGCAGATGATGTGCAAGTGCATTGCCACGAAAAAAACAACTGACCAAAGTTGCTTCAATTTTTAAGGCATTTTCAAACCAATTTTTATCGCAAAAATACACTGAGGATATAAATATATTACTTACGTCAAAACGATCGGCTCCCAGCACATATTTGTTCTGGAAAATTCCGCTTAAATCTGGATCCGGGTCAACTTTAATCCGTGCAATACCAATTGGTGATGTATTTGAAGGATGTCCCATTGAGCTCATTGCTTTTAGTTCCGTATCCAGGAGGTAGGTGATTAAGGCCTCTTCTTGTGAACTGAAAGAAAATGATTTCCATTGTAAATTAGTAGTGTTTAGGAACAAAAATTAAATACTGGTATTTTTTTAACTGGGATCACCAACCAGGATATTTTGACGCTCAGAAAAAAGAAAGTTTCAAATGTAAAAAAAGACAAAGTATTTTTGGGGATTCGGAAAAATAAACAAAAACAGTATAGCACTGGATAATGCTGGAGCAATGAAGAATATAATAATGAATGAATAATATAATAATGAATAATATAATGATGAATAACATAATAATGAATAATATAATAATGAATGATATAATGATGAATAATATAATAACGAATAATATAATAATGGATAATATAATGAATAATAATATAATAATGAATAATATAACAATGAATAATATAATAGTGAATAATATGATAATGAAAAATATAATATTGAGTAACACACGGGAAAGTTTGGAGGTCTAGCAGTGGTTGAGGTACAGGAACGGGAGGTAAACTTGTGGAAAAACGATACACTCTGTTTTTCACCATGTAATACGATTTTAAAAATTTAAAATTTTTAATAATTTGATAAATGTAAGAAAAAACGAAATAACAACTAAAAAAAATGGGAAAAAACAAAATTTCGCAATAACGTAATCTTTTGAAAGAAGAAAAAGGAAATCAGATGGCGTTTTGGAGCATTTAAGTAACATTATTAAAGGGGAATATCCGCGTTGCTACCAGGACGGTCTTGTTGTTCTTGGCATATCAATAACAAACGGAAGCGCTCTTTTCTCCTATGCCAAACTAATCCAAGAAATTTTCGAAAAGAAAGGATTTATATGACAGAAAAGTATTTGATAGAAAAAAAAAGATAGAAAGTTAACATTTTTGCATCAAAGTTAATATTTAATATTTTTATATTTTTTTATTTATATTTAATATTTTTTAGGAAGTTAATATTTTTTTTGTATCAAAATTTTGAAGAAACTGATTTTTTGAAAAAGCTAAACCAACTGTGCGATCTTCTTGAAAATGTAAACAGGTCTCGTCCCTCCTTCCTTCAGCTGTACTAACTGCCTAGAATGGATATTCAAAAAATTTTTCTGACAGCAATTACCTATGAGGTTTTTCTCAGAATTATTACATACATGGACAGTCAAGAAAAAAAAAACTGGAATAAGTATTATAAAAAAATAACACTATAAAACCATAATGAAATTTCAAAACTGTACATAAAATATTCGATCCAGCGTTCAGAAAGATACCTCACCGTGGTCCAGGAGTAACAACGTACGAGAAAAAATGTGAAATATGCAACCCAACCCAGGAACTCCATCAAACGGCTAAAACCTAGCTAACCGCTTCTTCCCAGAGAATAGCAAAATTAGTAATCCTTAACAGACGAAACGAACAATAGGTCCGCCAACGAGCCGACCAAAATACAAAAAAGCCCCTCAGCCGGACGATCGGAGAAACAGACCATAAATCACTGCTGATCAAAATACCCAAGTATGTAAAACAGGAGCCACAGTTCTGACCTCACTGAGTAATGAAAAAAAAAAAAGAATTAAGCAAATAAAACTCTTCCACAGCTATGCTTGAAATCCTATTAAACCTTCGCCAAGCGGCTGAAAAGCTGTCTTCATGGACAATTATGTTGGTCACGGCTCTGTTTAAGAAGCGAAATCACTCGCAAATAGCTCTAATTGGTAACGCGTGCCAGAAGTGACCACACACCGGTAAAGTTGACAACATTTTTGGGTTTACTTTTACGCAAATTAACCACGGTTCGACTGCCTTGCATGCATCAGCACCAATTTACCATCGAAGATTTGAAAGAACTGGAAAGGTCCGGTTACCACAATGTCGCACTCAAACACACCATCCAAAAGTGAGATGAAATTTTACATTACTTAGTGCTATGCCATGCTCCCAACAACATACGTTGTGTACTAAAAGATATTAAAAGTTTGTGATGCAAACCGTAAGAAAAAGGAGTACCAATGAGAATCAGCGCCAGGCGATGGCAACGAACTGTCTTCACGCTTAAGCTTCTTGCGCCGCGGGTTTTTCTGTTTCCCGATAATATCGCGATCCGGTCGAATAGCTGAAAAAAAGAGTTGTAAAACACAGAATGTTTGAAAAGCTGGAAAACAGAGGATGTTTGAAAAGCTGAAAAATCCGCTTACGCTCAAACTCCCTACGTTCTCTCCGCGTCTGTAAAAAAAAAACCCTCGGAACTTCGACAAACTCGTCACCAAAATGAAGGTTACTGCGATATTCTTGAAACTCCATTCACAACCCTTGCGAAATTCGCTACGGGCATTTAAATTAAAGCTTTTGCGAATTCGTTCACATACCCAGTTCTCAGTGAAGTTTTGTTTAAACTGAAATCCAATTGAACTTATTTGTCTGTACAACATCTTATCCACTCATAGCTTAGTGCTAGTTTAGCCTCACTTACTTCTTCCTTTGCGACTCAATTTTATTTATCGCAACATCTCGTTTTTCCAAAAAAGGCCCCGAGAGCTGCCTATGAACACTGCTTATCCCCTTACCAGAACCTCCAATCTCTTTCCCTCAGCACCTCCAACCTCTCTCCCTCAGCACCTCCAGTCTCTCTTCCTCATCACCTTTTCCGAATTGATAAGTTCTCGTTTGTTCTCAAATGTCATTCCATAAGCCCAAATGTGGAGAAAACGCAAGAAAATCTGAGAGCAGGAACTTACCATCAGGTTCCATGCCCACTTCAAGACATCGTTGAAATCGACAAAAACGACATGCATTTCGCTGGTCTGAAAATAACGGAAAAAGTGATATAAAAGAATCATTTTTAGACAGTTTATATTCAGAAAATATTACCTTAAGGAACACAACCCAGAATCGAAAGAGTTGACATGCGTGCGCATTTATCTGCGGTACCCCAACAACATCAGCAACATGGATCCCTCGCTTAGTGTCCGAGCGGTCTTGGTTTTCTCGGTGTATGTTTCATATTTAAAATGCAAACTAAGTAGCGCTTAATTCTGGATATTTTCTAATTTTCTGCGGACTGAAAATTATTGGTTTTTTGTAAAATGAATATTGGCCAGAAATTTCAAATCCAGAAATGTGCGAAAAATGAATGCATTCAGAAAAATTTGAAAAAAAAAATGCACTCTTTGTCTTAAACAGATGTGTAAACGTTACTAGAAAGATAATGAAAATGCGCGTCATTCACACTCTTTGTGATAGAGTAAAGCAAACTTTCTGGCATACTCTCTAAACTAGAAAATTTTTGGCTAAAAAAATTTCTCCACAAGGCTGATTAGGAATTACTTTGGGCCGTCTTGACCTCGACGGACAGGCTCGGGGCACTGAGGGGTCCTCTCCACCCCCTTAAATTCGAGCTGACAAAATTATACTTGAATACCTACCAAGTACCAAACAATTTATTTTAAAAAAAGAAGAAAAAACTTGCCTCCTCCCTCACCTTTCCTCTTCTCAACTCTTTTTCAAGAAACCTAAATAAATGGCAAGGTTTTGGTGTTTACCAACTAAAATTATAACAAAATGAACAAAATTCGGAAAAATTCGAAAAAAAAAGACATAAACGG